AAACCCGCTACACTATATACACTGTTGACGATTAATTTTGCTTTCAAAAAAAGAAACTTAAAGTTTAATCAGAAAAAAAAACCACATTGTATCTTTATATCAATCATATGCTAAAAAATTAAAACGCATAACAACAACAACAACAACAACTATTCTGCCTATCATTAAAAATTATTCATTTTTTAGCGTCACCAACAAAATTTTAGCTTCTCTAAAAACTGCTGACATTTTTTTTTTGTACGTCATCAAAACCTTTATTTGATTAATTTTTTTTTTTTTTCAAAATAGGTTGATGAAATGAAAAATAAAAATTATTAATTGAATCTTCAAGCAGAATTATGTTTGAGTGATATTTTCCAAACATAAACTTCTACACAAACACCATACCACTAAGAGGTCTTCCAACATTTTTTTTTTTTTGGATGAAAACAAATCAACAACAACAGCAACAACAAAAAAAAATAAAAAAAAATTTAGTAAATCTGTAATTTATTAAGAAAAGCCGCTGTCGGCATTTAACTTCTTTCTATCTTCTTCAAAACAATTGCTTAACAAATCAAAACAGAAGACAAAAAACGAAACAAAACTAAATTAACAGCAACAGTAGAAAGTTATTATAGTTTCAAAATTGGAAGTTCTTCTTTTTCTTGCAGTTTTTAATTCATATTATTTTGCTGTTGTTTTAAGTAGAAAATAAATGAGAGATAATAGAAGATAAAAAAAACCCCATCAGACTAAGGAGTAGGAGAAAAATAAATGCAAAAGATAACTTTGTGCTACGGATCACTGTCAGTATCGTTATTTCAAATGTTGCATTCTCATTTGTACTGCTTTCTTTACTCAGAATATTCAAAACAAAAAAAGCTCTAGCAGAAAAAGTCTTGATCAAAAGATGGAGAAGAAGAAAGAAGAAAGAAGAAAGAAGAAAGATTAAAGCAAAAAAAAAATAAAATAAAATAAATAAATAAAACTAATAATGAAAAAAAAAAAAAGTGATTATAAAAGAAACTTTATGAATTGTTTTTTGAAGATATGTCAATGAATAAAGCACATTAACAGATTTGTAGATCATTAAAAAAAAAAAAAAAACTAGAAAACAGAATCCCAATTATTGTAAACATTTGTTTTTTTTTTTTTCTTCAACCAATAATCATCAAAAAAAAATTCGAAAAAAAAAGTTTACTGTTGCAAATACATTCATAAATTTTTTTGCAAAAACCATAATATATTTAATTGACTTTTTTGATAAATTGTCAACCCATTATTAAAGGAACAGTAATTTAGGAAAAAAAAAAAACCCCAAGAAGGAAAATTGTATTTTTGAAAACTGTTTATTGGAACATTGCTATCTGCATAAAATACTACAAATATTTGAGGTATTATACTGCAATATTATAAGAAAACTAATCAAACAAAAGAGAGGAAAAAAAAAACAGTGGAAACAAACGAAGTTTTTCTGCTCTTTCTTTTTGTTTTTTTCGTTTCCTATAGTAATATAATGTGAAAAAGTTGTCGGTATGGTAATCATCAG